AAATCAGAACTCATCAGTATAATTTACGTTGTAAGTGTCATATAATTTAAAAAAGGAAGGAATGGAAGGAGTGGTGTGGAAACAATATACAAATGGGCACAACAGGTGTTGCAGGCCCAAAAAATGAGGTTGAAAATAACCATTTACTCTTTAAGATCACAATGAAAAATGAAAATCCTGAACACCACAACTCTCTAGGTCCAACCCTCATAGATCTGCAGGGGCTCAAAGTTGGACTTTCATGTTTTGAGGATTCTTCTACTTCTACTTTTGTAAAATAACATATTTTTATCATAGATCACAAAATAAAAAGTAATTATCTTTGATTTGAGCCCACTTAGAAACTTTTTTAATATTGATCAGAGGTTAATTATAAACCCATATTCAAAAAGTACATTAAATTTTACATAAAAAATGAGTACTCAAAAATTTTCCTTGCTCCGATAAGATGATTTAATTGCAGACTACAATAGAGAAAAAAATTCTGTCCGTCTCGACGTTAACGGGTTAAATCTGTTATAAAAAATGGGGGTCACCGTGCGAATAATCAATTTTTGTTCACCGTAGCGTATAGGTTATGTTCAAGGTCAAATTCAAGGTCACCATTGAAAAAAGCGGAAAATTTTACGTGAAAATATGTATTTTATCATTTTTTTTAAGGTCATTTTAGAGGCGGTACAATTAGAAAAAAAGCCCTTACTCGAAATTAATTTAAGGTTAAATGAGGGTTTTATTGGCGTCTGTAACGCCCTTGAAATGACCTTGAAAAAAATAACAAAATACATGATTCAAAGTAAAATTTTCCACTCTTTTCAAATTTGCAATAAAAAATTGGGGTATCCATTTGAATAATCGATTTTTGGGTCGCTGAGGCTTCAAGTTACGTCTAAGGTCAAATTCAAGGTCACCATTGGATTTCTTGTCGAAAAATACGTCGGATATAGGGTCGTTGATTTTATTTTAACGAATATTTTGCGATATTTTCAGAGGTTTTTTACCAACATCTAAATATGGCTTTTAAAAAATTTTTTTTTTTGTAGATTTTGGGTTAAATGTCCATTTTTGTGGTAAATGTGGACTAAAAATATTAAGAGCAGAAATCCTTAAACTATAAAATTATTAAAGACAAACCCTTTTTCTCATTAAAAAATAAAATGTATATCACCCTAACGGGGGGGTTGGCGAGCGGAGCGAGCAGGGGGGCGCAGCCCCCCTAGTATATATATATATATGTACGGCACCGTGGACTTTTCATCCGACATTATTTTCAGCGAATCTCTGCACAATTACCCAACGCTCTCTTGAGCATGGTGTGCGTGGTACAAGTAATTTACGATCGATAATTAGTGCAGTCACATGACGCGAATTTTTACATCAGAAAACATTCTCAAAAGCCTATTTTTTACTGAGAGAGTGTCTTTTTCATTCTTCGCACGAAAATAAATACGGTTATTTCAAGAGAGCAAAAAAACCCTCGGCAATCAATTACAATTTTGATATTTTATTTTAAAACTAGTTCCATCTATCCGCATTTATAAATTTATATCTCTCTGAATAATGTCGGAGTCGATAAAAGATGTTAATGTCGAGTATCGTCTTTTTTTCTTCTCGATATTCCGCTTAATATTCGAAAAAGAATCAATGACAAAGTGATGCAATTTTTTTCATTTAATTTTACTTCGCCAAACGAGAAAGCTCAATGCCGGAAAACCCCATGCAGGTAGCTTTCATTAAAAACTTATTTTCTCGCTCAACGTCAGCAACAACTGAAATGTCATCCTCTTGTCCCACCTCTATTTGACAACTTAATTGTGCGAGAGAAAAAAACGACCGATTTGTTTATTAGTGTTTACACTGTTACGTAATTTCGGTACAAAGTATTTTTAATTAAGCAGAAAAGTCAAGTATTAACGTAGACGAAATGAAGAAAAGTAGAGGATAACTTACTTTCAAGGCAATTGAGCAGCACGAAAAGACAACTTTTTCTTCGAGACTATTTGTGCGAAATAAAAATTGATTCATAGGCACATTTCTTTGTTAGTAGCATCGAAGCATTTTTTATTCTGTGAAATGCCTTTTATTCGATATTCCGTCTTTATTGAAACAAATGCTTCAACTCGAAGATAACTATAATCTTGTGTATTATTATCTTCGTACGAAGACTGTGTGCATCGGTAAAGGGTGCCATATAGAAAAGCAAGTCATAGTCACTGCGTCTTCTTCTAATTCATAAAACGAGCAATGCCAATAAAATTTCGAAAATACATCGAAGAGAGTAGTTTTCGCGGATCGCGAGCGTAAAAATGGTTCCCCTGCAGGAATGTCAAACCAGTTTGTTTATGAACAATGACGCAGAACAAATTCTCAAGGCTATTAGAGACTGAAATGGATTGCGTCTGTGGTTTGATGTATTCCTATATAGCATTAAAAATTTCGGATCTCTTCTCTCGGTTTTTGGCTATAACAGCCGCTGGGCAAGGTCAATTGAATTATACATCATAATAATATATGTATTCGCGCGCGTGTATATTGTGTCAAAAAAGTAGTGACCGCTCAGTGCAAAAACCAATTGGTGATGACATCAGACAATTTTTCCACCAACTCAAACACATAGTTTGACAATGCACCGTCATTAAAATACCGGTGAATATGACTATCTGACTAAATTTCATATATTTTTCTGCACGCGTTTCCCCGTATTTGTAATATTTGTCTTGTGCAACGTTTGCAAAACACTCCTCGCCAAGAGCCGTAAGGATCCTGACGTCAGTATAACATTATAGCTTCCCTTTCCTCTCGATTGGCATGAAATCTGATTAATCCAGTCCAGAACGCGACTGAAGAGTTGCGTCTGCTACACGTGCGGACATAAAAAAATTAATAAGCTTGATTAACAAGACCAAATTACAAAAAATTATATGCTTCGCACAATTTCTTAAACTTTTGTTTTCTTGAAATCTAATTATTATATATATAGACATTTATCAGTTTTTATCTTATCTAAGAACGTGCGTGTATATTCTTCAAGGAAATTAAAAAAAAGAAACCTATTCAAGTTGACTTCATTTATTCGGGAAGGTGAAGAATTTAGACGAGCTAGATATCTCTGCGCACATGGCACGCATTTACTAGCTGCAGTCGGATTTTTAATTTTTACGTTCGAATCTCGGATGGACTTGATACGTTGCAAGGCACCTTTCGTTCCGATATGCAAATAATATTTACGACTCAAAAGATGTTCAAATATATTCCAGTGGAATTAAATAACCAGCAGCTCGCAGACTTTATCGCGAATTCTCAAACATTGACTCGACCGATAATAAATCGTTAATTTATTGCGCTATCTCTCATTATAGAAGATATATACATAATGCGCAGTTTATATTTTTTTATAAACAAAAAAACTGCGTCTGAGTCAATATTTCACAATGTTTCGAAATTCGCTTTTACAAAAATTTGTCAACCAGTTCGACGTGTTGTTTTGCACTCGAGTGGAGATGCACTCGAAAGCAGCTGGTAAAGCTGAAATAACGCCAAAAAATGAAAAATGCTAATTTTTAATGAAAATATTCTGCTTTGCTACGGGTTGGTAAAGTAGAAATAAAGCTACGATGAATATCATCGCAGTTGGCGATTTAAAGTATCACTATCGCGCAATATCGCTTGAAAATCGAATAAAATACTTGCACGAAGCACAAGTTTTATCTCGTTCCGAGCTTTAGCCTATCAAGTTTGTTAAAGTTGCGGCGTTTTAGCAATGTTATTGAAATTTTCCGCCGTTTAGACTGAAAATTGCTGCTGCCTATATTTATGAGAGTTATTATCTGCAACAAGCGCTTCAAGTCGTCATTAAAAGAGATCGTTACTTTTTTGCCAAGTCTCAGTAATCGCTATTAATATCGCATGCTCGAAGAACAGATAGAAGAAGAAATTACGCAACGATCGGCTCTATATAAATAATCGTTACGCTGGATGCATCGTTGATAGAAGCTGAAAAAAGCCAAAAGGAAAAAGGCCAAAGTTGCGCGATGAGATGATTAATTTTCAATTTCATCGGCTGCGAGCCTTGTCGAGTGAAAAATCCGAGAAACACAGTCGATTAGCGGTCCACCAAGGGGACGACGGTGCGCGTCGAAAATACCCGAGGCAAAATTTTACGCTCCTCGGATGATTGGAGTACATGGCTGGAAGGGTCGCGTTAATATAGAAAACCAGAGATTAAGGTCGGGTTGCGTTGGGCGCAGCTCGAGGATCCTGATTCGACTTTAATGACTTTTAAGATCGATCGGAATGGAAAAAAGAGCTCGAGGACGCTATCCGGAGCAGAGTCAAAAGTGCATCGAATCGTCTACGAGGCACGTTCACACACACAGATACAGAGGTACGCAAGTCGGAAGGATGTTTGTCGGCATCCGCAATCTCGCACAATTTCTCTATATGTACCGGTAAAATTACACATCCGCGGCATGCAGATCTTTTTCTCGGTGCACATTATCACGGCCAATGACCTTGCAGGCCGCGGTACCTGCACACGCACACACTCGCACGCACACGCACAGGCTCGGACACAAGAAGAAGAAGAATGAAATAAAAGTGAGAAAAAGATCGTAAATAACGGAGCAAAAGCTTCGCTGCGATTCAAGTGCATCGATTTCGCACGTTCGCCGTATCAAAAATACATCGGCCGATCGAATTTGATATTACAACGCGTGTGCAGTTAAAGTAGGAGCAGCTAAGCAGGCGGTGGCGGCGGCGACGCTGCCTATATAATGTATCGGTGGGGACTGGAGAAACGCAGGCTTGTGTGTACAGGCTTTCCCCTCTCTCGGAGCGGCCGTTTCTCGCTTATACCGTCTCCACATATAGACATATACGCGCAACTGCCGCACACGCATTGCACACATATAGAGACATGACTGCTGCCGATGTGTGTATATAATACGCAAAAGTGAGTCAAGAAACGACGAGCCACGTCCAGCAGAGCGACGATAGTATAGTTCCGCGACGGAGTCGCGCACACCACTCGCACATCGCGGCCTATCACGTTATTACACATTAATAGATAATAACCTATCGTCGCTCTATTTTTCACTGACACACAGAGACACTTGAATAATACGCACAAACGATTTGTTGTGCTGTTGTTGCCGCTGCTGTGTTATCTCGAGAAAATCGTTGCGCGACTGTGCCAATATATATAGCTAGCTCTCCTTGGTGCTACGGGCCAATGTATCGAACGACACATTGCCACAGTGTAAATAGCAGACGATAACGAAATAATAAACCAAGATTTGCACGATAAAAACCGAGTCATCCATTTAAACTTTCAAATTGCCAACTTTGCCATTCCACTTATTATACTATTCGTCTTATTTATAAACATAATTGCATGTGTTTACACATAACCGATGTATATGCATTTATATCGCACGTGACTTACTTTTAAAAGTTTGCACTACTAATACGTACAAGTTTATCGGACGGGCAATGATCAACCGGTGTGCGCCTTATATGTATATAATCAGTGCGCCTGGCCTATAGCTATACATTGCACACTGCACACGAGTTTCGTCAGCCGCATGACATATCACTTTTTGCGAGCGCATATCGAACGACCCATCGACGCGATAATACACAAGTCCGAGCGACACAATGCGCCTTGCCGAGTGACAAATTGATCGGATCGTCGAACTTTAAATTTTCAAAGTGTCTTCGCGAGACGAGCTTTGGAGGTTATTACGCGTGCTGCTGTGCCGAGCATGCATTAATAACGCGTGTATGTGCGTGCAAATACATTCAGTGCATATACATGCAGCGGTGCAGCCGCTGTCCACACCGCAGCGACGACTCGCTGCCCGACCGGATGATTCACTGCTCCTGCATTGGCTCGCTCGCATAACGTAAACAAAACTCGAGGCGCAGTCGAGTTTACTTCGCTGTTGTGAACGTCGCTTCACTGAGTGGGGAGAAACCAAGCAGACGGAGAGAAAGAGCGAGAGCGAGACACAGCTAGCGAATCCAGCAAAGCGAGAGACACTGCGGATTTTCGCATAGCCGTGCTGACGGCCCGGTTGCACGGGTCTATCCTGTACGACTCCAAAGTCGACAGAAGTACTTCTGCTACTTCAAACGACCATTTTCCAAGCGGTAAGTGCTCGATTTTTATTTCATTGACGTTGCATAAATTATGAAATTTGGAAAGAAACTTATCGGCAGAGTATCGGCAGTGATATTGTGTTTAAAATTCAGCGAGCTCTTCAACGCGACCGTCCGTATACAAACGCAAGCGAATGAAATCGTTGCTTGACAGGTGCTTACGCCTACCGATACCGGTTTTTAGCGCTAACCAATGCGACATTCAAAAACGCATTCCTCCTCGCATTGTTGGACAATAACTTTTTTACGAAATTTCTCGTTGCGCATATTACATTTCTGCTAGAAATTCGTTTAATCAAATTATTTTACTTGATTAGCTTACCTTACAGGTACTGCCACGCTCTGCTTGATAAGCATTTTTTCTTTCTTCTCTTTCTTTTATTCATGAATAAGCAATCGCGAAAAATATCAAATGCACTTTTGTCTTTTTAATACATTTTAATTTTTTAAATTCACTCTTTCGTTTCAAATGTATTTTGTTTAAATAAGTTGGTCTGAAACTGTCTAAAATAACTTAAGCATCATCCAAAATTGACAAGGAAAATATGGATGCTTATTTATTGAGAAATGATATTTTTCAAAATCTTTGAGCTTTCACATTTTGTTTATTTATTTATTATTGTTCTATTATTCATCCATTTAAATTTAAACAAAAAAATTTTTTTCAGATACTTTACAACATTCTTTGGGGAATGTAAAAAATTACATTTGAAGCAACTCTCAGAAATATAGATGATACTGTTCAAACAAGTTTGTCCAAGAACAACCAAAAAATCATGTGCCATGCATGGCAACTGATTAATGCTTAAGATGGAACTGAAGCAACTGTGACAAAAAACATTGAGAACACTTGTTGGTGTCAGTGTCTGTGAAAAAAGTAATTAATACAATAGTTACTTGTTAGTGAAATAGTGAACATTCAAGTGCATAAAGTATTAGTATGCACTAGTGATAGTTTTACACAAATTTTGTGTATCAAGTGCAGTTGCCAAAATGATAAACTTGAAGAAACTGTGTAGCGATGAGCTACTGCAGATTGCTCTGCTGCTCTCGCTTCTAAGAGTGGATCCTGATTCCTATTTAGGGTTAGATTACCAAACTGTTGGTATTGGCTCATTAAATTTACACAATGGTTCAGGCTGGCATACAGATTCGCATACAATAATCCACAGACCAGCTTACGTGCACCCTAAAAATTTAGACTCAGTTCTATTAAATTATGAGAGGGATGTATTCGAAGACTTGAATGCCCTTGGACATTACAACAGGTTGCACACTGCTCCAAATGACATTCAAGCTTACTTATTAAATATTGATGATAAAGCTGTCCCTAGTACTTCAAGTGGCACTTCAGAGAGTGACAGAAATTCAACATCACCTGATCCACCAATAACTCCAGTTGTTGTTTCTCAAGAAAATGAAGACTCCAATGACAGTGTTGTTGGTGAACTCACCCAAGAGGTAGAACTATTGTTTTTATGTAACTGTGTTAGGTAAAAATTGAATATTTAACTGCAATATGAGGTGGTTAAATCGTGTGTTTACCATGTAGTCTGTAGAAAAATAATTAATTAACACTGATCAAATCAATCATCACGTACCCGATTATCTTCAAGGAAAATAATTGTGGCAAAGTTTAATCTCTTGTTCAACACAAGTTTATTACCTTATCATTCTATATAATTCCTCGAAAATCTACTCTCACCATCTCGCACACATTCACGAAACAGACAGCGTAGTTAGATGCTCTGGAATGGCAACTAGTGAAAATACGATTTCCCTTACGTGCGAGATGCGCGCGTGAAATTTTCTAATGCTGCACGAATGACTTAGTCTATAAAATTTATGACTATTAAGATATTGGATTTTTTCTGTAAAGTATCTTAAAAAATATCGAAGGTTCGCGAGCTCTCATTTGTTTACAAACAAGAAAGATGTCAGAAAATTTATTAATTTAACTCCTACGTCATTCGTGAAACCTTTTCAATTTTTTCGCGCTAAAAAATGTTTATTTATAGACACAATATTTACTTTGACCAAATCTGTTATGAACAGAGAGTGAGAGAGAAAGAGAAATCCTTCAGACGATAAAACATTGAATTGTTAAACTATCAAGCATAAACGTAGCGATAATACCACATTTTTGTTAAACGTCTCTGAGGCGCTTAGCTACTCAAAAATAAATTTTAAAAACAACAAGGATGCATATGTTATACATGGTATCGTGGCGCTAATTGCCATAACGAAAATAAACGCCGCTCGAGCGCAGATGCCGCCGAAAACGACAAAACTCATCTATTGTCTCTCCTATGTATCAACAAAATCGCTGAAACTAATTAAGCTTTTTTGGCAACAGTCCCTTCGCAAAAATTTTGCACCTCAAATTGCTGCCCGTTACTTTTAAAAATATGTACTAAAAAGCACAGAAAAAATCGGCAAACACGACTTTTCGTTGGGAGAACGACGACCTCGTTCCTTTTTTCGCACTCTCTTTCCGACACACGCTTTTCAGCGCCTTTTTTGCTCCGCTACATAACGCGCATCACACGCCAGAGGTGACCTTGCCTCGTTACATCCTTTTTTTAACGAACTTTCTTAGAGGCTGGTTTAAGACAATTTTAATGTCGTCCGTTGCATATTTTCAAGAATAATCGAATCTCGCAAGCGCGAATAGCCACGAAGACTTTGTCCGAGTTTTTTGATACGTCACAAAAAGAGAGACTGAGCTTAGGGTTTCTTGTAGGTCCGCTCATCTTATCTCCTTCTCGAGGCGTCTAATGCCACACTTGGATTGTTTTATGAATCGCTTAAAACTCGCCCACGCATTTGGAGAAGGGTGGGTGGCTACGCACGAGCTATTGACCCGTTGACCATTACAAGGTCTTCATTCGTGAAGTGACTCACTCGAGCGTTTATTTTCGAATTTATTCTGCAAGGCGATTTTTACTTGTTGAATCGGAACCGAGTATATCTGCGTCGCGTTAAAAATTGTTATTGGTCAGACAAAAAAGCATCGGTGCCAAGGCTGTCATAGCCATCTCCCGTCGTTGCTGGCCGTTGCTGGCGCGCGCGAAATTCAAATGTTCAATTTCGGAAAAAATGTCGCACGATCGAGCGACCGGTGGCAAGGAGCGAGGAAAGATTTTATTCCTCTCGAGAAGCAGCCTAGAATACAGGTCGATACCCATATTAGGTTGGACTTTATTTCTAAAAAGGAATTCAATATATAAAAGCGTCGACGCGCAGTTCTTTTAGCGACGAAAAATCAATCCATTGACAGTTTTTGAATTATTCTCGAGTGGATATTATTGCGTCGACGTGTCGTTGCTACGTCGATATTGAAAAGGTATTTTGCATGAGGCATACCGACGCGCGCTCGATCGCTGCTGCATTGAATTATTACGTCACAATTTTTCGGCTTCCCTGCTATATAATAACTGCGCGACTCGATCATTTTTTCATATTCATGCAGTCGAGTTCTTACCTATATACCGGCGCATCAAACAAGGTCGTTGCATTGCCTACTTAGCTCAGGCACCTGCTCGCCAAAAGAATGAAAATTATATCAAGAGCCACACACTTTAATGTGTAAATCCCGATCGATTTTTTATGGATAACAATAATACGAATATCTTTTGTAGTTCATATACACGAAATAAGGACAAAAAACTCGGGCGGTTTATTATGAGCTTTAATAATGGATTTTACTGTGGCTATAAAGTGACAAACGTGGAAAATGAAATATCTCGCTCTGCGCTTCAGACCAATCATATTTTACCAGAATATCTCTCATCTTTTCCTTATACTTTTCACGTCTAGAGGTGCTTCAATAACATTCGAAGCTGGCCGAAATCGTAATTTTATTCACGTGACCGATCTACGTGCACACTTCATCGACGTCCGTCACCCTTTGCGCTTATGTACGAGTGTTGATGTATGCTTTAAAAGAGTTATATTATTAAGTCGGATGGTAAGACTTGGAGAAGAAGAGAGGGAGAGGCAAAAAGCAGAGAAAAAACGGAAACGAGACTCGCTCGAGTTATTATTGCATCGCGTAGGAATGTAACTTGCCTGTCTTGTCACTTTCTCTCTCTCTCTCTCTCTCTCTCTCTCTTTCCCTTGTATTCTCAGTATACATTACGTATGCGAAAATTTTGCGTGCGTGTGTGGGCAAACTATTTAATTTAAATTTCATGCGTGCTGCAAACGACAAGCTTTCTCGTCTCTGCGAATCACAATTAGAAAAATATGCCAAGTTTCCTAAAAATATGTGCATATATTTTTGATCTTGGTCTGCATCAGTTTTTGCCGTACAATATCAAGTAAACACTATAAAAGTCAATCGAAAAAGCACAATAACACGGCTTTCTTGACAATTTCAGGCAGGAAATGTTCATTCGCTCGTCAAAACGATCAAAGTTCTTAAGAAAAATTTTATTAAGAAAAAAAATTATTTTTTCTCGAATGACGTGAAGCGCCTGATGCACTGCTATACAATTTTTGTGTTCCTTTCGACATCCCATGGTAGTCCGAGGCGAAAATAACACGATTCACGTGACAGCAAAAAAAAATCAAATGAGATTTATTTTCGGTACGCAATGATCTTTTACGTCTTACTGAAAAAGCGCGCTTATTTTTTGGAGGAAAACATTTGCTAAAACACCTGTCTAGACTTGTTAATATTGCTTCGCAAGTAATGCTGTTAAAAGTCATAAATTGAATAAAATTAGTGCCATTATAAAACATTAACAGTACATTTCAAGTGATCGATTTTGAACGAAAATTCGTTTTAAATTCACCAGATTAACTTACTTACCAAATAATGAAAATTGATTGTTGAATTCAAATCTACAATATAGTGTAAAAATGTATTTTTTCTTATGTTGTACGTGTTTTATTTGCGAAGGAAAATGTACGCATCTTCACGCGTTTTATAGGAAATGCTTACACCTCCCCTCGCTCGAGTTCAAGCTCATAAACGCTCGCGCGTGGACTCAACAGTACGAAGTAAAAATGCACTTGCTCATTGCTCGGTATTAATTAAATGCTTGGACAAGCGTGGCTGCTCGCGTGCACTGATAATAAGTACATAAGGTACATCCAGAAGTTAACGAAGAATTTTACGCACAAAAAAGTATCGTCGTTGAGTTCGAAAAATTTAGAGCATCGTAATGTCGGAGTAATATGCGGCACTGCAGAAGAAGAAAATTGCGCTATTTTCTTGTGTTATATGTATTTTAATTATACCGTATCAACGTCTCCGCCGTCTATAATGAAAAATGTATTACGAGCTTTTGAAATGGTTTTATTATACAAATTATGCCATGAAAATTCAACGCGCTAGATTCAAAATAATTTAACAATATTTTACATTTAATATGAGCTTATATGTGTGTGTGAGATGATATTCCGGAAATGCACACTTATAATATACTATTTATAAAATCAACTTTAAATGTATACTATTTTTAAAAGCGTATACAAGATACGAGCGTTTTGCGCATTTTGCGATTCGCATCATCACTCACCAGCCTCGTGTGTAACTTTAAAGTGCAAAAAACACCTCGAGAAAAGACAAAAGTTTCGGCCGCGATAATTACGCGCGAGCGCAGGGTTGCGCATTAGACGCGACACAAGCTGACAACGGCGCTAGACAATTTTCTAGGATTATGCTCGCTTAATAAAGTTCTCCTGTCTGACGCGTGTATTTTAAGACGTGTTCAAAAAATGGATTTACCGATAGTAAACAAAATAAATGTCAAACGATGCATTAACTATTGTACGGTATAACAAGACACGTTCATTAGATACATATTCCCCAAAAAATCTAGTCTAGTTTATGCCATGCAATAATACCAAGAGTTGACAGGCCCTTAAAAATAAATATAGAAAATTTGAGCGCATCGTTGCAGAGATTTTGTTCACGCAACATAAATATCACCAAGTTCCTATACTTTTGATTCGAAAAAAAAAAATTGGAAACTCGACAATCAATTGAAAAAAATCGAAAATAAAAATGATGAAGATTAATACATGTCCTGCGCAAATTTTTAATGGATACTCGATCGACTTACAATGACACACAAAGTGAACAATTACTATCGACAGCATCGTTAGGTGGTATACATCAGCCGCACACCCTTTGCGATGATATATATTTTAAAAAATGTATAAGCAGCGAGTAGGAGTCGCGGTAAAAATTCAATTAGAGAATAATACATAAAGGAAAAATCGTCGCAGAAGCGACATAATAGCCTGCCGCTGTTTTGCGTGGGATCGAATAAAAGACGCGCGAGCGAAGGAAATTTTCATGTATACGTCAGCTGCAGATCGTCGCTGGTACTTTTTTTCTCTCCAGCCGCGAACTCGAGAGAAAACGTAATGGAATAGCTCCTATACAATACGATCGGGTGTAAATGAAAATTTAATCAAGTTATAATTAAGCGGATAATATCTTTATA